CTTTGCACTCCCGTCGTGTTTGTGTTGCTTGTTCTTGTGACGTTTTGACGCCATGCCCCGACTGGACATCTGTGAAAAAAGAGCTTCATAGCTCATAAGATTCCTGCTCCAGTATCAATAAATATTTACATTCTGAGCATCAATGTTGGTGTTGTTCAGGATGTCGATATCCCAGTGCTGAGTGTTCACATGTGGGATGAAACCGGAGCTCCCGGAGAAACCCCACGTGTGCGTGCGAGGGGGAAACACTCTATCCCCGTAGAGACGGGACACGGAGTTCCACGTCTTACTTGCTGTAACCGCCTTTCCCTGGCAGAGCCACGGGTCGGCAGGGAGTTTCGCAACACCGTCGCTGTGGTGAGCCACCAACCCTGGCTGCTGCTGCTGCCTGCACAGGGCTACTGAGATTGCAGGCAGCCAGCCACGCGCGGTCAGCGTAGCCACCACTGTGGCCCCGCTCGAGTGTGCAGCTGTTAGAGAGAGAGAGCGCATGCCACGTGAACCACTCCTTGATGTGCACGACAGGCGCTGTGGTGTTCACGCGTGCGTGACATACGTGGACATTGCACCGGGGAGCGGTAGTGCAGTGGTGAGCGTGCTGTGTGTGTGGGAAGTGGTGGTGCAGTGGTGAGCGCGCTGCGCTACGAACCCGGCAGAGACCCGGGTTCGATCCCCGCTCACGGCCACCACCGGTCACGATACTCATCTGAACCGGTCCTGGGCCTCGCCACTTACGGAAACAAACGCGGCCGTGCGTGGTCCCGGTCCCACAAGTGATTGAGTCAGAACCAGATTATCGTAGCAGCACAAGTAGCTACACATGTGAAGCTACATAAGTAGTAGCTATACATATGTAGCTACACATGCAGCTACACATGTAGCTACATATGTAGCTACACATGCAGCTACACATGTAGCTACGGGCCCCGCACTTTCAAGGGCCCCGCGCTAAATGCTTTCAAGCTGTTAATTCCGGTTCAGTGAGTCTGCCCTTGCTCTATTACTATAGTACTATACCGCCTTCAACTTTTACGAACGACTGGGTGTTTAAGGTTAGCGATTTGTTGTATTATCTGGACAGAGGGGAACGGAGGGAAGGCCGCGATGAAGAGAGAGAGAGATCTCTGTAGTAGGACAGGGAGAGAGAGATAGGAAGAGAGAGAGACGTCTCTGTAGTAGGACAGGGAGAGAGATCTATGTAGTAGGACAGGGAGAGAGAGATAGGAAGAGAGAGATAAATCTCTGTAGTAGGACAGGGAGAGAGATCTATGTAGTAGGACAAGGAGAGAGATAGGAAGAGAGAGAGGTCTCTGTAGTAGGACAGGGAGAGAGAGGACAGGGAGAGAGATAGGAAGAGAGAGAGATGTCTCTGTAGTAAGACAGGGAGAGAGATCTATGTAGTAGGACAAGGAGAGAGAGATAGGAAGAGAGAGAGAGGTCTCTGTAGTAGGACAGGGAGCGAGAGGGAGTCTCTGTAATCGCCGCACCACGCCGAGCAACAAGGTTGCTGAGTGACTCCACGGGGCATTTGATTTTCGCGGAGCGGCAAGTCAACGAAATCTTTATTTGCGCGCGGGGAACGCGCGCTGTGGGGTCTGCGGTGCGAACGCGAATCTCGTGTCGGCTGCCTTGACAGGACAGGGAGAAGAGAAGGGGGGGCTGCGGGGGGGGGGGCTCTGGTATAAACAGATGTTTGCTCGCTAATGAAGTTGCCCCTGGGTTGTTCTGGGTTCTCCTCCCACACCAGCCCCCCCCCCTCTGTCTCTCCGCGCTCATTCCGCTCGCCGCGGCCAACAATAATAAATAAATAAATTGACGCGTCGGAGATTGCGGCCGTGGTGAGCAACACGAGGGTCTGACTGTGTGGAGCTGATGATGGGTGCATGGTGGAGTGGTGGGTGGGGTGGTGGGTGGAGTGGTGGGTGGGGTGGTGGGTGGAGTGGTGGGTGGGGTGGTGGGTGGAGAGATGGGTGAATGGTGGGTGGGGTGGTGGGTGGAGTGGTGGGTGGGTGGGTGGAGAGATGGGTGCATGGTGGGGTGGTGGGTGGAGTGGTGGGTGGGGTGGTGGGTGGAGAGATGGGTGAATGGTGGGGTGGTGGGTGGGGTGGTGGGTGGAGTGGTGGGTGGGTGGAGAGATGGGTGCATGGTGGGGTGGTGGGTGGAGTGGTGGGTGGAGTGGTGGGTGGAGTGATGGGTGGAGAGATGGGTGCATGGTGGAGTGGTGGGTGGAGTGGTGGGTGGAGAGATGGGTGGTGCATGGTGAATCTAGAGATGGGTGCATAGTGGATCGGGCGCCGTGGTGGCTAGGAGATGTTAACTCACTCGCCTGGTATGCAGGAGGACGTGGGTTCGATTGCGATCCTGACGCCTGGATATTTAGATTGTGAATATTCTCCCCGTGTCCGCATGGATATGTTTCCAGGTACTCCGGGTTTTTCCTCCACATTTAGAATCAACATCTCGCGTTTAGAGTATTTGGCTGCTGTACATTTCCACGTGATGATGATAAGCCACTTCGTTGAGCGATCATTTGTGGCCAAGTCGCTTCTGAAAAAGAGTTATACATAGCAGCTCGGTGGGCCTTACCTGCTGAGATGAAAATATAACGCTTAATTTTAGTTGAGATGGGTGGAGGGGTGATGGGTGGAGGGGTGATGGGGGCATAGTGGAGTGGTGGGTGGAGTGATGGGTGGGTGGAGTGATGGATGGAGTGGTGGGTGGAGGAGTGATGGGTGGAGGGGTGATGGGGGCATGGTGGAGTGGTGGGTGGAGTGATGGGTGGAGTGGTGGGTATAGTGGTGGGTGGAGTGGTACGTGGAGGAGTGATGGGTGGAGGGGTGATGGGGGCATGGTGAAGTGATGGGTGGAGTGGTGGGTTGAGTGGTGGGTGGAGTGATGGGTGGTGTGGTGGGTGGAGGAGTGGGTGGATTGGTGGGTGGAGTGGTGGGTGGAGTGGTGGGTGGATAAGGGGAGAGAGCGGAGGGCAGTGATGAGTGGATGGGTGAAACTCAGTTGGGGCGCTCACAACAATGGAGTCAGACCGGCACACGTGGCACACGCTGACTGATGGGGTGGCTGTGTGTGATGTGTGGCTGTGTGTGTCTGTGTGGCTGTGTGGCTGTGTGTGTGTGGCTGTGTGTGTGGCTGTGTGTGTGTAGCTGTAGCTGTGTGTGTGTGGCTGTGTGTGTGGCTGTGTGTGTGTGTGTGTGAGGCTGTGTGTGTGGCTGTGTGTGTGTGTCTGTGTGTCTGTGTGTGTCTGTGTGTGATCAAGGGATGGCTCCCTATTGGTCAACCACGTTATGTATGCCGATGATTTGGTAATAGCTGCTCATTCAGAGGAGGAGTTGGAGACGCTGCTGCTGAGACAGGAGCGTGCCACTAAGAGGTGGGGCCTTAGCATCAGCCCCACCAAAACTACGCACCTGCCTGGGTATTTTGTACCATCGGACACTCCACCCCCACAACTCCCAATCGGTGATGGGGCAGTAGTGGAGAGAGTGGAGAGTTTCCCATACCTGGGCAGTGTGCTTATAACCGGCTCCAGTTTAACAGCAGAGGTCTCACTCCGAATCAGTCAAGCGGCAATATCTTTTCATCGGTTGCGTAACGCTGTGTGAAAGCTACCTGGTCTGTCGCTCCGCGCGAAGCCTCAGGTCGTCTCGGCCACAGTCATTCCCTCCCTTCTCTACGCTTGCGAAACGTGGACCCTCCTAATGGAGCATCATCCTCGGTTTGACCAGGCTGGATTTGTGTGAGGAGCTCACAAATCCTTGAAAGATATTGGCAAAGTCCCATCGGTGAGCTCCTCCGGCAGGCAAGGCTGCGTTGGCTGGGTCATGTAGCCCGCATGCCCAGCCACCGCATGCCTAAACAGCTTTTGTTCGGACGGATCGAGGGGGCTAAACGGGCGCGGCACGGGCTAGAGAAGAGATGGAGTGATGTGGTACAGGAGGACGTGGAGCTGAGTGAACTTGCCGATGACTGGTACCAGCGGTGTCAAGATCGGCCTCAGTGGAGGAGGCTCGTGAAGGACGCTACTGGGCAGTTGGAGGCAGTCGCCCTCTAACAACAACGGAGGGCTGAGGAGCGACGCTCACAACAACGAGCGGAGCGCCGGGTCGCTAAAGCACAGCAAGTTAGCACAGTAGGGGGCACAGGTGGTGCATCAGCCAGTCATCTCGGTCACCTCAGTCAGTCGACCCGTGGCACCTGGGTCTGCCCCGTGACCTCCTGCCAGCGGGCGTTCGACACTACACGTGGCCTCAAGGTGCACATGGCCTGGCACAAGCGTCGTGGTGACGTCACCGTCACTTAGTAGCGAATGGCGGTTGTTGTTGTGTGCCTGTGTGTGTCTGTGTGTCTATGTGTGTGTCTGTGTGTGTGGCTGTGTGTGTGGCTGTGTGTGTGTGTGTGGCTGTGTGGGTGGCTGTGTGTGTGTAGCTGTGTGTGGCTGTGTGGGTGGTTGTGTGTGTGTGTGGTTGTGTGTGTGTGGTTGTGTGTGTGTGGCTGTGTGTGTGTGGCTGTGTGGGTGGCTGTGTGTGTGGCTGTGTGGATAGCTGTGTGTGTGGCTGTGTGTGGCTATGTGTGTGGCTGTGTGTGTGTGGCTGTGTGGGTGGCTGTGTGTGTGGCTGTGTGTGGATAGCTGTGTGTGTGGCTGTGTGTGGCTGTGTGTGTGTGGCTGTGTGTGTGTGTGGCTGTGTGTGTGGCTGTGTGTATCGATGTGTGCTATGGGCACGGACCCAGCAAGAGCTGAGTGCCGTTGGCGATGCTCTCAAGGAGCCTGTGGCCGCCGCCAATCTCAGCCAAGCGCTCGCCACGTGGCCTCCTGCACCACTTGCTCCAAAACGTCACAACCAGCAGCAGCAGCTACTAAAATAGCTCTCTCGGGGGTCACTTACACCCCCTCCCCCAGTGTCTCATCCCCCTTCCCATCCCATCGGACCGAAAAAGGGATGCCCATTTGCCAATAGGCCACTATTCAGCAAACTGGTATAAGCTTACAGCCCTGGGCACGGGGGTGGGGGTTGCAGAGCGATCGGTGTGTGTGTGACTCACAAGGGGTCGTCCTCTCTCCGTCTACTTCACTCGCTCACTCGGCCCGTCTCTCGCTCTTGCCACCAACGCCGCAGCAGCCGCCGTCGTCCGCGAGTGCCCGTGTGCCGAAGCTGTTGCCGCGAGTTCGTAGGGGCGAGTGAACGGAGACGACGCCGAGATGGAAGCCATCAAGAAGAAGATGCAGATGCTGAAGGCGGATAAGGAGAACGCCATCGACCGGGCCGAGCAGGCCGAGACGGACAAGAAGGCGGCGGAGGAGAAGGCTCACAGCGTGCGTGGCTCGGCGTGATGAGCGCATCACACCCGCGTGTGTGTGTGTATGTTGAGTACATCGCCTGTGTGTGTGTGTATGTTGAGTACATCGCCTGTGTGTGTGTGTATGTTGAGTACATCACCTGTGTGTGTGTGTATGTTGAGTACATCACCCGTGTGTGTGTGTATGTTGAGTACATCACCTGTGTGTGTGTTGAGTACATCACCTGTGTGTGTGTGTGTTGAGTATGTGACCTGTGTGTGTGTGCTGAGTACATCAACTGTGTGTGTGTATGTTGAGTACATCACATGTGTGTGTGAGTGTTGAGTACATCACCTGTGTGTGAGTGTGTGTATATTGAGTATGTGACCTGTGTGTGTGTGCTGAGTACATCACCTGTGTGTGTGTATGTTGAGTACATCACCTGTGTGTGTGAGTGTTGAGTACATCACCTGTGTGTGTATGTGTGTATGTTGAGTACATCACCTGTGTGTGAGTGTGTGTATATTGAGTATGTGACCTGTGTGAGTGTGTTGAGGACATCACCTGTGTGTGTGTATGTTGAGTACATCACCCGTGTGTGTGTGTGTGCTGAGTACATCACCTGTGTGTGTGTATGTTGAGTACATCACCTGTGTGTGTGTGATGGGTACAGGGTGGTCCAAATATCCTGTGACCCCCACCCCCTAATTAATTAACACTTAACATGCGTTCACCCACCCTTTGCACATTGATTTCTGTTTGAGAGAAAGTTTACTTTTGTTAAACCAAACCATGTGCGTCACATCATCCTCACCGCCGCCGCCGCCACGAGCAACCTCGCCGACTGGTGGCCGCCGTGTCCCTGCCGCAGGTGGAGGACGAGCTGCAGGCGCAGCAGAAGAAGCTCAAGGGCACCGAGGACGAGCTGGACAAGTACTCCACGTCGCTCAAGGACGCGCAGGAGAAGCTCGAGCAGGCCGAGAAGAAGGCGGCCGACGTGAGTCGCGCGGCCGCTCGCCACTCGCACGCACGCGCGCGCGCACAAAGACAAAGGTGCCCCCCCCCCCCCACGGTGTAGTCTCGATAGGCTGTTGGGGCAAGTGCTGTTAGCAGAGTTACCCGATGAAAGGCTCGGGCCGCCCGCCGCTCGGCCGCCTTTGTCTCCTCAGTGGCGATGTTTCCTACACACCGCACCGGACCGGGTCACGTAATCGTCACCGCTGTTGTTGGTGGCCGTGAGCGGGAATCAAACTCGGGGCTACGGGACAGACCCAGGTGCTATGGGTTGACTGATGTGCCAGGCTAGGTGCAGGAGTTCACGGGACAGACCCAGGTGCTATGGGTTGACTGCTGTACCAGGCTAGGTGCAGGAGGAGGTCACGGGACAGACCCAGGTCATATGGGTTGACTGATGTGCCAGGCTAGGTGCAGGAGGAGGTCACGGGACAGACCGAGGTGCTATGGGCTGGCTGCTGTGCCAGGCTAGGTTGCAGGAGGAGGTCACGGGACAGACCCAGGTCCTATGGGTTGACTGATGTGCCAGGCTAGGTGCAGGAGGAGGTCACGAGACAGACCCAGGTGATATGGGTTGGCTGCTGTGCCAGGCTAGGTGCAGGAGGAGGTCACGGGGCAGACCCAGGTGCTATGGCTTGACTGATGTACCAGGCTAGGTGCAGGAGGAGCTCACGGGACAGACACAGGTGCTATGGGGTTGACTGACTGACATGACTGGCAGGTGCACCACCTGTGCTCCCCACGACACCAACTTGTAGAGTTTTAAGCGCCCGGCGGTCCGCTCGTTGTTGTGAGCGTCTGCTCCTCGGCCTTCCGCTGTCGTTGGATAGCGACTGCCTCACAGCTGCCCAATAACCTCACATGCACCTAGCCTGGCACTGCCGATGAGCGTCCCTTTGGCGAGCCTCCTCCTCCACAGGCCGATCTCGTGCAGGAGGCTCGCAGGCCACCGCAACACCACACACAGAAGTGAGTGCAGCATTGAGTGCTCTCAGCCTTATCCAGATCAACAACTCCGTAGAACTGCAAGCAACACGAATCGATTAATGCGGCCAAACCACATTCAGAGTGAGCTGGAGCTGACTCGACTCGGGGTAGCAGGGCCAGTCGATTAATCCCATAGTTGATCAATTAATGAATGCATTAATTAGTGAATTACTTAATAACTTTCTGAATTCACTATCAATCTTTATTATGCTTTGATATTTGCATTGTCATTGTGCTAGTCACGTGTTGGCGTTGCTCTGTGGTCGAACACCTGTGGTGAGACATGGGCATGAAGGAGGCTGTGGTTCTGGTGCAGACCAGCCAGTTTCGAGGACAATGCACACATTATTGTTCTTCATAATAAAGGTGTTTGGGTTAGATCGCGTTATTATAAATGTGTCGTAACCCTCCACCACCCGACACGGCCAAAAAATAAAAAAAGTTCACTACTTTAGCCCACCGGTGTGTTGAAGAGTGAATAATCAACATCATTTACATCCAGCATCAGCAGCATTTGACAAATTTCACGATTATGCTGGATGTAATTACCAGCGAAACGTCGTACTCAAAATTGTAAATGATGTTGATTCACTTTTCAACACACCGGTGGGCTAAAGTAGTGAACTATTTAACGTGACACATTTTTTACTGATTGGCCGTGTCGGGTGGTGGAGGGTTACGACACGTTTATAAATAACGCGATCTAACCCAAACACATTTATGATGAATAATACTGGTCGCGAAAGCCTACATGTTAAACTAATTATTATTATTAAAGGATGTTTATTTGCATGTTTTACCACGAGCATTATGTATGCGTGTATATTTAACTTATTTCGCATCGTACGTAGCCAACCGCGTTAATCGGAGCGGAAGAACAACAAACTGAACAAAAAAATCAGTTCCAAACAAACGAGTTTTCAACTTAGATTTAAAAGTGCATCACAGCTCCCAGTGACGTCCTAACCTATCGCAAGGAAGAGCATTCCAGACGGCCGCGGAAGCGCATCCGAAAGCGCCGCGCGCCGCCGCGAGGACGAGCGGAGTGCGCGAGGCGGCGCGTTGGTGCTCCACCACGAGGTGAGACCACGAGGTGAGACCACGTGGTCTCTCTCACCCGTGAGCCACCTCGTGTGTCTCTCGATGGCCACCGTCTACACGGCCGCGGTGCCTGGTGAACTGGGTGAACTGGCCGACGTGGACGGCGCCTCGCAACAGCCGGGCCCCGCTTGGCTCGTGGAACATCCCGACGGCTCTCCCGCGTTATTTCTGGGTGGGGGGCAAGCGCGGCTATTAGTTATTTATTTTATCTCCTCTTCTTCGTCGTTTTGATACCGGCAAAAACAAAACACGGGGTCCCAGAGTTGTGTCAATCGGCCCAATTGCTATTCGAAGCCGTCCACTCGTCGTTACTGTGGCAAGGCTGTGGACGGCGCCGTCCACTCGTCGTTACTGTGGCAAGGCTGTGGAAGGGGGTGGGAGGCTGATGCTGTGTTTGTGGAGACACGAGTGTGAGCCCCGGGCTTCGTAGTCGCTGCGTGGGATGTGGTGCGGGAGAGATCCCAGAGCGGGGAGCGGTGGCGCAGCGGTTAGCACAGCGGTTAGCGCGCCACCGCTACGAACCCAGCGGCCTCCAGTTCGATTCCCGCTCACGGCCACCAACGCCTGTGACGATTATCTGAACCGGTCTCTGGACACCCCCTAGGTCGACTCAGCCTCAAACGAGTTACCTGGTGCGGTGTGTAGTAAACATCGCCACTGGGGAGACAAAGACGGCCGGGGGTGGTGCTGGCCACCCCCGACCCCCCTCGTGTGCCACGGTGCCGACCCTTCATCGGTGCTGCTCGCTGACAGCACTTGCCCCAATAGCCCGTTCAAGGCTATACGGGGATCTTTGTCTTGAGATCCCAATGTTGACCGTGACACCGACACGGAATGGCGAATTGCCACGGGTGCAAAGGGACCTCGATACGTTCCTGTGGACAGGTGTTGTGGTTAAAGACGTCTTGACCTGCAATGAGAACTTCAAGATTAGTCGTATCAGCATCATCAGCATCATCAGCATTGCCATCGTCATCATCAGCGACAGTAGCCGAGGCAACAGCAGCAACGCCATCAGCAGCAGTAGCATCGGCATCATTATCAACATCGTGAATCAGATCATCGCCATCGCCATCATCTTCGAAACATTGCACTTTGTCGGAATTCATCAACGGCGGTGGTTCCGCGGATGGACTGCGCACCCGCCATGGCAATGTGGAATTTCCACACGCCGTGTCTGAGCCTGCGTGTGATCCAGTAGCGCTGTGGAGGCAGCGTCGAGGATGAGCCGAAGCCCCTGGCGCTGCCACGAGAGGGCGGCACAGAGCAGCGGTCGGCAGCCCAAGTGACAGGGAGAGACAGGGAGAGACAGGGAGAGAGCTGCGATGCACGCCAACTCCACACGGTGGCGAGATGCGAACTGCCTCGCCTGCTATTCAGGCGTTCGTGGGCTCGATCACAAGCCTGATGCCCATATCATTGGAGTTCGCGGTGTCGCTCTCTCTCTCTCTCTTCCCGTGGTCGCGTGGATTTCTCTTCGGGTCCTCCGGTTTTTCCCTCCACAGTTAGAACGGACGTCACGCGTTTAGAGTCTTTGGCTGCTTAAACATGTCCACGTGATGATGATTATGATCACAAGCCGCCACTTCGTTGCGCGATCATTTGCGATCGCCAGGTCGGTTCTGAAAAAGAGCGAAATAGCAGCTCAGTGGGGCCTCACCTGGGAAAAAAACTAAGTTTAGTTGATGATAGGTGTTTCCTCTTTCTTCTGGCAACAAAACAGGTGTTAAGATGTTAAAACACCAAACTGAAACCTTTCACAAGGAATCACGTCTGAATTAACCACAATGCTTGTGGTCACTCTGATAGTATATGCATTGTCCTTGAAACTGATTGGTCCACACCAGAGACACCTTTCTTTTGAGCCTCGTCTCAAACGGTGTTAGACCAGAGGACGCCAAAAGGCGCACACAGCATAAAGACAATGCACTATCAGAGTAACGAAAGCTCGGGGTGAGCATCTACAAAAAGGCCAAAGGAGGTCCCATGATAAAGTTTAGTTGAGTCGATAACAGCGTCACGAAGCAGTCCTTGAAGAGCCACCGCATGCGGCTTCGGAGCCGCGGGTTGCCCACCCCTGGGATAGAGCGTTGTCCCCTCGCACGCGTGGGGTTATCTCCGTGTGCTCCGGTTTCCACCCCCCACGTGTACACACACCATGAATTGGGCCGATACCACCTTGAGAATATATAGAGGGCCCCAGAGCTTGGACAATCGTCGGTAGCGACGGCTCCTCACCAGCACCACCTGACTGCTGCTGCCTTCCTGCTCCTCGTCTGTGGCTCCTCCTCCTGGAGCCTCTGAGTCGTCCTCTCTCTCTCTGAGTCGTCCCCTCTCTCTCTCTGAGTCGTCCTCTCTCTCTGAGTCGTCCTCTCTCTGAGTCATCCTCTCTCTTTCTGAGCTGTCGACCCTCACTCTCCGAGTAGCCATCTCTGAGTCGTCCTCTCTCTCTCTCTGAGTAGTTCTCTCTCTCTCTCTAAGTCGTCCTCTGTCAGTCTGAGAGTCGCCCTCTCTCTCTAAGTCGTCCTCTCTCTCTGAGTCGTCCCCTCTCTCTTTGAGTCGTCCTCTCTCTCTCTCTCTGAGTCGTCCCCTCTCTCCCTCTCTCTCTGAGTCGTCCTCTCTCTCAGAGTCGTCCTCTCTCTCTCTGAGTCGTCCTTTCTCTCTCTGAGTCGTCCTCTCTCTCTGAGTCGTCCCCTCTCTCCCTCTCTCTCTGAGTCGTCGTTTCTCTCTCTGAGTCGTCATCTCTCTCAATATGAGTCGTCCTCTCTCTCCGAGAGCGATGGGTGGACACCGAGTGGCGGCGGTGGCGCAGCGTTGCGAGTCGACACGACGGTGATGGTGACGATTGTCACCCTCACCACCATCACCACCATCACCACCATCACCACCACCATC